GGCCCCTCTTCATGTCCCTTCAAAGTCCTCGTCTTCAAGTGTGCTCTGACTGATATGAAATAGGCATTTCTGTTTTCTTATGAGTGTTTTCACAGTGTTTCCTTTTCTATCCTTTGACTTTTAACTTGTCTCTTCATATTTAAAGCGTGTTTCACTTTAAATAGCAGAGTCTTGCTTTTTAAAAAATCCAGCCTGCAAATCATTGCTTTTCAATAGAAGTGTTCAGTTCGTTATCATGTAACTATTATCCTATATAGTACAGGTAATTACTGATAGCTGCTTTTATGCATGTCATCTTACAGTTTGTTTTCTATTTTGTTTCATCTGTGCTTTTTGTTCCTATGTTCCTCTTAGCTTGACTTCTTAGGTTAAATTGAGTATTCTAGTTTATCTTCTTTCTTGGCTATTTAGCTGTACTATTTATCCATTTGCTACGGTTTTTTGTTGATAGTTACTTGACGAATGACAAAGTACACCCTATCATACTACAACGTGTGATAAACTGTATTTAAATTTTTAAAACTTAGTACAGTAAAGAGACACCTCTCCATTAATCTCCCTCAGGTAGAACACTTTATTCTTCCACTCCCGGAAGCAGATTTAAAGTCCTCTTTTGTGAGCATCTTCAGTTGAGCTGTCATGGCTGCCTCCGTGTCTGCAATCATCTCAAAATGTTTCCCTTTCAGGTCACTTTGATTTCAGGGAAGAGCACTGCACAGTGTTGTATTTGGTGAATAAGGTGTCTGAGGACACACTGGAATCATTTTTATAGGAGCCTCATTTTCTACTGGCTCATAATATTCAACAGCAGCATTCATCGCATTTTTTGTATTTCATAAAGACGTTCATTAAAGAACACATCCAGAACTGCTTCGGAAAGTGACCAGAGCCCGGCTTGGTGGTGCATGCCTGTAATCCCAGAACTTGGGAGGCCAAGGCAGGAAGATCACCACAAGTTGAGGCCTGCCTGAGCTACATACCAAGATCCGGTCTCAGAAACAAACAAAACAAAAAAACAGTGGCAAGCACAATGAGATAAGTGCGTTTGAATGAAGGGAGGCTATACTGAGTTGGATTAACTGCAATGTATCTTTTCTTACAATCTATTTTTTAGTTTAAATGCAGCTCTTGTGTACCTCTATTATTATACCTTGTCTCGCACAAGGATGAGGCCCTCACAAGCAATATACTTCACTTTCTCCATTTCTACCTTTGCTGTCATATTTTACTTCTATGTATTATAACTTCTCTCTTAACTTTTGAAGAAATTAAGATATGAAAGTCTTGTATTCACTCACTAATGTATCATTTGAGGCACTTTGATTTATTTTTAACAGCAGTGTTATGAGTTAAGTTTCAGCCTGCAGTTGGTAAGGTTTTTCTTTTCATTGTTTTAAAGGTGCCATTACACTGTATGCTTGCTCCTGAATTCCAATGAGATGCTAAGATTTTTTCTTCACCCTTCAGTATATTTCTTTTTATGTTTACCCTGCTTGAGCTTCATTGTGCATTGTGGGTGTGGGGCTTGGTATTTTTTACCACTTTTGGAAGTTTCAATCATTATTACTCGTACACTTCATCAGACCACTTGATACTGTCTAACAGGTCACTAAGGTGCTGTTTCACTTTTTAACCTCTCTTATTTCCCTGTGTTTCAGTTTGTAGTTTCTGTGGACTTGGCTTCAAGTTCATTGACCCTTTCTTCTCTAGTAACCAATCTGTCATCAAACCTCCTTAACACATTTTTTCTCTGCAAGACAGTACAGTTCTTAAGACTTAAGAGTTTTTATTTGGTTTGCCTTTTATAGCCTCCATTCATTTCCTGAGAGATTGCTCATCTGTTTACTCATTACATTGTAACATCCTTGCATACAAATTTGAACATCTGTCAGGTTTGGGTCTGTTTCTATTGACCTTTCTTTCCTTTGGTATGTGTCACTTTCCTGTTTCTTGCCTAACTGGCAGTATTAATTTAGATGGCAGCTGCCAAGTACGTAGTGTAGATTTTATTGTCTTCCTCTGTGGATGGTTTTGTTCTGGCAGATGGTTTATTTACTGAAGGATCAATCTGACCATCTTGAGGTTGGTCTGGACACAGTTATGACAGCTCTAGACCAGCCATCAGTCTTCAGCGAGGATAGCACTACCCCTAAGGTGTGGCTTTGGTATGGTCACCTGAATGCCTGCAACGCTCAGCACAGCTGGTTGAAACGCCAATGCCTGCCTGTGCCACGCATATTCTGGAATTTCTATTTGTCTCATGGCCTTCAAATAGTCATTCTCAACCAGAGCTTGCAGAGCCTTGCTCCATTCTGGCCAAGGAAACTCCCGTATAGATTTCTGGAGCTGCTCCCCTCAGTAGCTCCGTTCTCTGCGTTTCCTCATGTCACAAACCGAAGCGGTTTCCTAGTCAGAAAGGCTGATTTGTTTCTTTTTCCACTTTCTGGCCTCTACTTCCTTTTGTTGCTATTTGGAAAGTGTCCAGGGAAGCAACTGGTTAGAATCTGAAGTTTATCTTTTTGGTTAATCTTCCCTCAAGGTCACAGTCCTGAAGCACCTGTGTCTGAAATAGTTACTCTGACTCCTTCTGGTTTTATAGTTCTTTGCGGCATAAAAGCCCGATGGCCGCGATTCTGACTGGGACCAGGGTTTTGGGTTTTCATTCACATCGGTACTGTTGTTTCAGATGGCGTATGTGACCCTTTCGGATTCTGTTTAGCTCTCCAGCTTTACCTTAAGACTTATGCTGCCTGTGCACTGCCCACCATGCACGTGCACGTACTGAACAGGAGTACGCATGAAATGATTTTTAAAAATACGGTGAGTGCTTAATTTTAAAACTCCATTACTGTGAAAGACACAGCGCCATTCATTCCCTTCACAGTATTCCCCTCCCACACCGAATGCCCTTATTCCATCCCCCTCGCCACTTTCTGAAGCAGTTCTGGAAGCCCTTTTTGTGAGTCTCTTCCGTTGTGCTAGAAGCCCATTCAAAACATTTACCTGCCGTGGTCAGTTTGACTTTAAGGCAGAATCAGGTCACATGGTGCCAGGCCCAGTGAAGGAGGTGAATGAGGACACAGCACAGTGTTTCTACAAGCCTGCCTCTCCACTGGACGGCACTCAGCAGCAGGAGTCACTGTATTTCTGATTACGCCTCACAGAGACGTTCCTGACAGAGAACTTCCAAAGCTGTCTCAGACAGCGGCGAGAGGGATGGGACAGGTGACTGAGATGGGGTGGGGGACTCAGGGGCAGTGGCGGCGATATGTCCTCAGTGCAGTAAAAAGTTTTAATTAAACATTCACTATACATTTGTAACACATTTTCAGTTTAAACAGACTATGTACTTTGATCATCTCCAAACAAAGAACAATTTTCCATTCTTTAAAGATGCTGGAGGATCCCCCCAGTCCAGGCTTCTCTAACACTTGCTTCTCTTTGACCATCTCAGCTCCTACTCATCTTTCCAAATCGGCTTAGCTGTCACTTCTTTAGTTACTGTGGTCTCGTGTTCCCATAGCAGCCTGAACTTTCCCCAAAGACATTATAAAAATTTATTATAGCCTCTTATCGAGTATGAATTGTGTCTGCCTGCTGAATTCTAAACTATGTGAAGGGAGTGTGGGGATTATCCTGGGTTATCATAAACACTAGTCACCTGCCACTTAGGAAAATGCCAATTAAAGATTTGGGCCAGCAAAAATACTAGACAAACCTGCTCATACGATACCCAAAGGGGATTGACTTGAAATTCTATTCTAATAATTAGTAACTTATCTACACAGGCTTTGCTTCTACTGCTCCAGGTGTCCTGAATTACCCTCTAATTACATGGCATTCACGGCCGTATAATTTTCATTTCAGCAGTTTGCCTCTCTCTCCTCACCATTCTCTGCTGCCTTTACCAACCAATTCATATCTACTTTTGGTACTAAGTAATTACTAAAGCCTTTATAAACCTCGTATCTCAAAGAAACACATTTTGTTATGTATTCGTAAGGCATGTTCCCCGAAGGAAAAAAAAAACAGAATCAAGTTTTAGTTCCTACAGGTATATCTGTGACCAAGGCAATGCTATATATAGAGGGTTATCACGTCCTTACGTTGCTGCTATTGAGTTCAGGAGCAAAGTCACAGACACAGCTCTTCTGACCATTGCAGGAGGAAAGAGGGCTCAAACTAAACACATGGAAGCTTCCCTAATTAGTATAGTGGTTAGTGACAAGGAAATCAGAACATAAAACAGCAGAGTATATAAACTGAAAGCCCAAGTAACCAGATGGATCGAGATCCTGATACTACATATTTATTTCAAAGTGGCAGACACACATAGGTTTCTAAAAAGTAATTCAACGTGAAAAGGAATTCAGAATAGATACTGTAATTGCCTATTAAAGGCAGTGTAACACAGCTATACATGAAAAGCCCTCAAAAAGGAGTTTAAGCAAAGTTTAAAAAAAACCACTTTCATTAGGAAGAGAAATGACTTAAAAGAAAGTGAAAGAAATATTAACAAGAAAGAGATCTGAAAGATATCCAATAGAATGCTGAAGCTGATGCCTTTTAATGTCCTTCTAATTGTTTAGACTCTACAAATTGGTAATTTTTTTTTTAAGATACCTCCAAATTTGCCCTTCCAGAGATCTCAGGCTGAGAATCCAAGTAATTCAAGCAGAAATATCCACCTTACTGTTATCACATACCTCTTTGGGAGAAGGGTTGAGAAGGCGGTGGGATGAGAAACAGATTATCCAAAAGAAATAAAGAAATACTGAAGAATACCAACAGGGCAGAACACACTGAGATGTACGGTTTCTCCAATTCTCTCCAACCTCAGCATCTACTGTAGACTGCTGGCACCCTGTATTCTTCATGCTTTTTGCTTTTAGTCTCTAGATAGTTAATGGACTTGTCCCTCCCTACTCCAAAAAGGGGACTCATGTAAGATTCTCACCCATTAAAAAGAAAACGACTAAACTTATGAAGTTATTTCTTACCATTGATGTCACCACCAAGGCTGGAGAAAATCCCATTGTGAGATAGAAAAAGAGCTCAACCACTTTATACCTGCAAGAACAGAAATGCAGCTAGTATGGCTTATGTATGTAATTCCTAGATCACTTACATGCCAGCTCTCCCTTTTTTATTTTGAAAGAGAAATACAAACGTTTAATTACACAAATGAAATGCATTTCTCAGTAGGAGACCACGTGGCCTCCACCCACCATACCCTGATTGGGTAAGGATGGGCCAGCACTGCTGCCAGGACTGAAAAGGCACGAAACTCCATGTGATACCTAGAAAATGTTTTTTGCCAAAAACACTGTAGTGAAATCGAACTGAAATCACCCTACATCTTTTCCCTTTCCAGTCTTAGTGTGTTTTCCTTTATTGTCATTTCAATCCAAAGCTATGATAAAGTGAAGTTGAAGACAGATGGAAATAGCTTAGAGCTTCATTTGATCAGGGGTAGAGGAACATTAGTCCTAAGGAAAAAGCTTCATCTCTTCATTTTGCATTGGTACAAACTACAATTTCCAAGGGTCATCATATTATGAAATACATGAAATATATGAAAACTCTAAGAGGGCCGGGGAGTTAGCTCAGCGGTTCGGTGGCCTGCCTTGCAAGCCAAGGACCCAAGTTCAATCCCCGGTACCAAAAAGAAAAGAAAACTCTAAGAAATACACTGTATTAAAATTCAACTTACATTTTGGCCCAGTCCAACTACACTATGAGCTTCAAAGGCAGGCAGCAAGTTTTACTCACATTTGGATTGGCAGAGCCTAGAATAGTGCCTGACACAGCAAGTGCTCCCTCATCTCTGTCAAACTAAAACGCCAACACTGACTCACGATTCAGCCTCAGGGTTTTATACTCAAAGCCTACCAAGAAGTAACAAATCAGGAGAACAAGTTCAAGGGTTTGGTTTATGTGAGAAGGCCTGGAATAGGAGAAATAGCTGCCTTACTTGACTTCCTATTTTTACCCAAGGGGTAATTTAGGGGTTTGAGTGCAAGAAGCAAACTGATCCCTTGAATTTATATATGCTGCATCCTATCACTCAGCATTGCCAATTATGACCAAAGGGTGTCGAAGGGAATTTCAAATCAGAGAAATTAGTGAAAACTACCATTTTCTTCTGAAAGGAGAAAATAATATTTTGACAAATACAAATTATGTTCAATTTTGAAAGCCACTCTGCCAGCCATAATAAAGAATTTAATAAACTGTAATTTAATAAGTCTGATGACAATGATTTCATGGTGGCAAGCTTCTCAAATTCAAGCATATGACACGGCACTCAGACTCTCTTCCCAGATGAGTCGCTTAACTAATGCATAACATGAAAAGCCCTTAAACTGACCGAACCAAGATAAGCCTTTTCTAGACTATTGCTAAACTCTTAGGAAAATGAGCTATGAATAAGGGCTAAAGAACTGTGCTCCAGAGCTAAAATATTAAGGGTTTAGGTGTCGTTTCACATGGCCCTTTTCTCAGGGAAGCCTATTTGGAACACTTTCTAGTTACTCAACTAGGTAACTATGCTGGGCAGTTAATAACTGTTATTGCCATAGAGACATTAAAAAGGGTTACCCGTAGCATGTGGTGACTGAATCTCAGAGGGTAAGGCTAGTCTGCCTCAGAATGAGACATGAGGGCCTACGGACTCAAAATGACTAAGCCATCCTGTGTCTCATCCCCACTGTACCACACGTGCCTTTCACAAGGGCCCATGGCAATCTGTCCACTAACGATGAATACCAAATGCTGTCAAAGGGTTATTTAAAGTAATACTTATTCTATTTATGTGTTTCTATTATTGTGAAGAGGAAATATGATAGACGTTAGATGACAAACCACTTAAAATTTAGGCAACTAATTTAAAAACTACCAAATGTAAATTATCTTTTCTTACTTTTCATGGTAGAGAAATACATAAATCGTTCCTCCAGCTGCCATGAGCCAGATAAACCAACGCATATGAGCTGCCAGTGGTCCAAGTTCTCGGAGATTTAACCTACCGATAAAAGCAGGACAACAAAGGACAGGATAAATGAAGGGAATTCACAGAAGTTGTGTTTTCTGCTAGTCCCTGAAGGCTAAGAAAATGCTACAATAAAAGCAGGAAGAAAAGGCACTCAACACACAAGATGGAAATTTGGGTAAAATTAGTATCTCAAAGATAAAATTGTCAATCAACCTTTTAGACTTAGAACTAGTTCCAGTGTGCTTTAAAAATAGAACCAGCTAAAAACAGACATGTAGAAGTGAGTCCCAGCACACTTGTCATGCCCGACTTTCCCTGGCAAGGCAGAAAGAGGCAGAGGCTGCTTGCCTTTTTATTTCTGATCATGGATTTGGGAGCAGGCTGCTTACACAGCTTAAAGAGAACTTCGAAAAAAATCCTGAGCTGGGAGCAGATACCTCATACATAAAACACCTGTCTCCATTACCGACCTCTCTGCCAAGACCAAACAGGACAAGAATGATCCCAGTGTGAGTGGGGGATACTCTGTTAAAATTTAAACGTGGAGTTTTATAAGGTCTGAGCTTTAAAATGCCACAAATTCATTTATACTAATGTCATAATACAAATAAATATAGAGGAAGAAGCCCAAATGTTCTGACTGGATGTTGCTACAGATTAATATTCCCAAATGGAAAAGGTACTACTTGCAAGTCTAACACTGTATGTGAACAAACTACCTACTTTGATATTTGACTCCTCAGCTCAATTTAAATATTTTTATTACTTATTTGCTTATTTTAAATTGAAGTGTATTTCACAAAAGCCTTCAAGCATTCTTGCTCTGATATGAATCAGACCTATAATTTAGTCAGAGGTATGGAGGAGAGCTAGCACTTACTTTTTATTCTAATGGATAATTACATTTCTTTTGAATGAGGCTGCTTTCCCAGAACCCAGAGGCCTGCTGTTTTCTGTGACTACAGCAGGTGATGGCATAACACAAACTTCTGAGTGTTTCAAACTGGACCACGTCTTGGCAGAGGAAAATTAAAGTTTCTTTTGTTAGGTTTCAGTTCAACAAAAAATCGTATTTGCTATGTACCAAAAGGCCATTAAGACCAAGGAAACTGAGTAGAACGCTAGGTTAACAGGTTTGGTTAGCTATCCTAACTCAGCAAAATCAACAGAAACATGCCAGTGTACAGTTGCTACTGTGCTGTAAACAGAGAAGACAAACGGTGTAAATTTCCAAAGGAAGCTTATTTTCTTCTTCCTGTATACATTTACAGCATTGCCCCAATTTCTAAGTATTCTGAAAAGCAAATGTATATGGAGGAAATACTGAGGTTTGGAGGGACAAAGGTCATGTTTCAAAAGAGCATATGGTCTAAACCCAAGTTAATATCATTGCCTCTTAAACAATCCAATGCCCGGATATTTACTCTAAACAGTGTTTTCCCCTTCTTTCCCTCCTTTCTTTTCTTGGGACCCAAGTAAATCACACTGGGAAAAAAATACATGCGAGTATGTGTTTGGGAGCGAGGGGTGGTGGTATGCATGAGGGCTGGGGCGGGGATGGGACAGCAGGAAAGAAGGAATGAAGAATAAGGAATTCCAACAATAAAAACACGTCCAACATTTTCACTTACCATGGAGCGTAAGAAGCAGCAATGAAAAAATAGATAACCATTCTATCACACATGTGAAAACAATGTTCCACTGTCCTAGAGAGGGGGGAAGAAAACAAGTTAGATAAATTATTTTAAAAAGTTCAGAAGTATGCGTTATCAGTCCACGATGCTGCAATCCCCATTCCTGTTCTAGTTTATCGAGGCATTTGTAACTTGCCCTCCAAAGCCACACTGTGTTGTGTTTAATGATGTGAAGCCACAGGTACATACTTCATACTACAACAGATATTCTCACGGTTAGGAAGCAATGCGACCCATCTTTTTTGATCATTTCATTTATTTTGCAGCCCAGCTAACAGTCAAAATTCCTTAAGGGGAGATCCCTCCTGAGTTTCTGTTGCAGTGCAGGACACAAAGTCCTGATACTCAGTAAACAAGCCCTAACCAAGGTCACATTCTTTTCAGAAGGTCTTTAAAGATTCTTTGAAATACCCTAGTGTGGACAATGGTTTTAACAAAAGAAATTCAGTAATTTTAAGAAGAGCTACACTTCCAAAAATAGGTTAGGCAGAATTGGCCCCTTACTCATGTGATCAAAAAGGACAAATGCAGGGCTGGGGATTTAGCCCAGAGAGGCCGCTGCCTGCCTTGCAAGTGCAAGGTCCCAAGTTTGATCCCTGGTGCCAAAAAGAGAGTACAAATGCATAGCATTATCTTGCCTCTATTTTCACTGTCCAAAGGGTCACAGCTATGACTTGATGGAGCTGCAGTTACCAGGCTTTGCCTCACTACACACACAGTGTTGGCCAACGCAGACTGACGAGGACTTGTGTTAGTGAAGAAGTGAAAAATACATTTGTGAGAAATAAATGGCTTTGTTCTACTAGTCAGAAGCTACAACTGATTCCTAAGTAACAACTGATGCCATCCATCTAAAGCAGCAAACAGTACACCCCTGCTTCTCAAATGACTACTCATTTCAATTGTCTTATGAATGTAACCAGGGACTTCAGTCCAGAACATTCTATTACAAGGGACAGAAGACGGGACAGAAATTAGAAGAAAGGGGATAAAATGCTGCTTCCTCTTTTAAACTCCTAGAATAACTGTGATTTCTAGCAAGATTTGAGGCTTTTCTAATTCTACTCTCTCAATTGTTAGACATTTTCCCTTATTACCTTTCCCCTACCATTCCCATTTTCCCAACACCATAAGGGAAAAGAAAAAAAATATGAGAAAATTAAAAAATGAAAATAAATTGTTTGTAAATGGGGAGGGTAGGAGAGGGTGAAGGGAGGGCAGGAATAAGGGGAAAAAATGAGAAGCAAGACCTGTCATGTAAAGGTACCAGATCCCAATGATGAATGTAACTGTACTGTATACCTAAAATGTACCAATAAACTCAGTGAGAGGAAAAAAAAATTGTTAGACATTGTCAGAACACACAGTCAGATGAATTTTATTGAAGATCTGCCACACACCTGTCAGACTCGTTTTCTTTACAAGTAAAATGTAAATCTTTCTCTAGAGCATGTGAAACATTAAATGTGATAATTTGGACTATGTATTTAACACAGAACCCAGTACATAATAAATGCCATATCCTTTTTTCTACTTAAATTGAGGTTTTATTTGAATACGTAAAAAGCTTAAGGCAGAACAAAAATCCACATGTGGCTTACGATTCTAGAAGTGCTATTTCAAAGTTCTGGTTTCTATTACACCTTCCCCAGCTCCTGGCAGGGAGGCCTTGAATACTGAACTACATCTACAACTCTTTATTGATTCAGAGATCCAGACCTCAAAGCCGAGTCTGCTGAGATGACCAGAAATGTCATCTTGTGCCAAGAAGATAATGAGGTACTCTGCTTCCTGGCTGGCCTCTGGCCTCTGTGACGGCCAGGACAGGCACTCCTGGGTCCTCTGGTGTGTCCCAACATGCCCTTGTGATTCATTGCTGTGATTTTATTATAAGCCTGGGGAACTGTCACCTTAGAGCAAAGGGGAGCCGACTACAAACTACATGCAGTGTTATGAAAGATACGGCAGGAAAGAAAACACAGGGCTAGGAGCCAGAGGTCATGCGAGGATCCAATACTGCCTGTCTCAATGACTTAGGCAGGGCGGGCATTTGTCTCAGCCACAGTTTCCTCAACCAGAAGTCAAGAGTATGGATTGTATGTCTCGGAGTACTAGTCCAGCTCTAAAACTCCATGATTCTACACATGATGAAACCAGTATTCATCTCATAAATCCCACATCCTCCTTGTAAATTAGGCATTTAAAAATGAGACTGTCTAATTACTTTTGGACATTCTATAAAACCAAACAATATTTTCGAGTATTACTTTACGTCATGATTATTTGGCTCTGAATTCTCCTTTTTTGAGAACTCTTTCACCCTTTTGGGTTTTAACCTATTAAGTCATTGCAGAATCTATTTCACATGTAACCCATTCCCACCAAACAGTGTGGGGCTTCCTCTGTACTCTCCCAGAGGAATCCTTCACATGCAAGAGGAACGCTTTTATGTCCTCCCTGTTGGAAAGTGCCTGATAATCAAGTGAGAAATATATTAAATAACAGACACAGAACTTCACTCTGAAAGTTCAGCTTCATGAAACAGAAATCCAAACTATAGTTCACACCTCCTTGTATCACATAATCCTAGTCTTCTGTAATTTTCAGATCATTTTCTCACACATTATCTTATCTATCACAATAACCTTATGAGTCAGGTATTACAATCCTCGTTTTAGTGATAAAGAAACTGAAGTTGCAGGGAGCCAGGGGACCTACCCAAGGTTAAGCAGGGCAGAGACTCAAAGCCCACTTGCTGGCTCCAGGCTCAGTGCACTTCACCACTACTGCATAGTGACTGCTCTCTTATCCTTAGCGCACCTGAGAGAACTGGGAAACTGCTCTCAAGACTTCAAATGTTGAGTCCCGGGAAACCACTACAGTATTGACTTCTGGCTAGAGAGGCCTGCTTTCCTAGATGCATATGCGAAGAAGCGTCCTCAAACTCTGTCCAACCCAAAGAAGACATCCTGAATTACGAGACAGCACTAAAGCCCAACACCAGGAAAATGTCCATCTTTTGCCCCACCTGACCGAAATACGTCACTTTGGGAGGTTAACATTGAGCCAACCGTTTCGGTCTGTCAAAACAGAATGCCATCCACCGTACCTTAAGTGGCTCTTTTTCCAAGACACGATGTGAAATACTGTGGAAACGATGAAGAGGGCACAGAGACCCATTCCATAAATCCACGCCGTTATCTTTTCCCAGCAGTCATCAGACAGCCGATGGAGGAAAGCGCTGCCCACAATGGCCGGAACAATGAGGAACTGGGTGAAAGGAGGGAGAGATGAATATCCCGGCTTTCACGGGAAAGATATTTTTCTAAATATATAGAGGTTTACCAGGAACAATACAAACAAAACAACTTTAAAACAAACATTGGCCTTAAATAATCATGAGAGCCCGATGAAGTCAGTTGCTGGACTGGGAGTACTGCTGTTCACGGCCCACAGAAGTGCCAATCAGCAGACACACGAATAGGTCAAGACACAACATTACTCACCTGTTGCAAAACAGATGTTCTTTAGTCTGTTTTCATTAATTAAGGGCACATAAATAAAGGGCACATTTCATTCTACTCTCTAACCTGATTTAGTGTAGGTATATCCAATAATCAAATATCAAGCATATATTCAGATTTCCCAGTGAGATCCTCATTTTAAAATACTCTATCCTACTGCCCCCATCAGCTCCTGAAATTCCAGTATTTCAGGAAGAATCAATGCATAAATCAAGCCAATGAGTAATACAATGTACACAAAACACCCCAGCACACACAGGTGCGCGCACACACACACACACACACACACACACACACACACAATTATCTAAGATGTTCTGATTATTACTTTAGATTTCTTCATTCTACCAGTCTGGCAGCCACTTTTTGGAGTAAAAGCATTTGGAGATTATTTCATCTTTAGTAGTACCTATTAAGTAAACGACAGTAATCCATTCCCAAGGCCCACCCATTCAAGAAACCAGAAATCTAAAAAAAGATTTGCTATTTGTACTATATATATGAGTACATATGGACACAAGTTCAATGTCTAGCCCTATGAGTAGGACTATGACAAGGAAACATTTTATAATACAGAAATTCCCCAGGAGAAACAGACTACCCTATTAGATATTAAAATATGTATACCTGGAAAAGAATGAAAATTTTAGGATCAGTTTTTCTTTTTTTGGTCCCCAATATCCCTTTGGCTCTTCTGCAATGTAATATTAAATCCCCCCAATGAGACAACTCTCTTGATGCCAAAGTTTTCATTGGCCCAGAACACAAGAACAGTAAGGATAAAAATGGAAGTTTAGTATACAACAAAACTCATTTGATTTAAGGAAATGTTTTGAAATTATGTTGTTTCTTTTTCTTTTTTTTTTTTGTACCAGGTATCAAACTTAGGACCTTGCGCTTGCAAGTCAGGTGGTGGAACCACGGAGTTAAATCCCCGGCCTCTATTTTATTTATGTTAAAGTATTTTCTTTTAAATGAAATAATGATGAACAAGTTTTGGTGCCTTAAATCCAAAAATCTGAGATACAGTTTAATGACTATATTTTCTGTTCTAAAACATTAGTATGATCAGTTTTTCCTGAATTTCAGTTTATAAAAGTGTTCCTTAATGTGTGAAGATACCAAGATTATTCAGGTCTGTTCCTAAATGTGAGCTGCGTGTCTCAATATCCAAATCATTAAACTGCACCAACACTGTCCATGGTAACCACACTGGCTTCTTCTAAACACTTGTCACCAATGGAATAAATTGTCTTCTCTATTATTTTCAGACTATAGCCCAGCCACCATTTTCTCCTCAAAAGTCTCACACAATGCAATTTTGAAGAGAATAATAAAACCAAAGTAGAATTTATAATCACATAAGAAAAAAGTGCCAATTATATGACATTAATAGGAACCCTATGAATAATATATACACAAATACCAGAAATGCACAAGAGGAAGAAGTGTACCAAAGTGTCACCAGTGTATTTCTGGGTCATTCTGTTTGCTTACATGTTTGCCAGTATTTTTAAAGTTTTTTATTGTGAGTATGTTTTACTTTTATAAGAAAAATCAATCAAGAGCTTAGGGATCACATTGACATTTTATTTGGTAACACGGAATAAAATGTTCTGAGAAGCAAGGGTTACTGTGGGGGTGAGAGGATGTGGCTTCCTGTTTCAGAAGTTCACCTAGTAAAATACATCTTTTTCAACCAACTGTGAACTCTCCTTGCCAAATGAGCACAAGTGGATAGTTATCTCATTTGAGGGCTAACAATTTCCATAAACAAGTTTCTCTCATTGTCTTATATCCAAGGTACATAGGTCTTTTTACTCTTGTAAAAGAGACTTGTTTATGGAAGGCAAGCCCAGGACAGAGCAGAGTGAGTCAGAACACAAAGCATTCTCCATGCTCACAGCTTCTGGGGATGGGACCGCTGCTGGGGTCTGGTAGCTAAGGTCACCAACATGGGTAAATCTAACTAATCCTGCTGAGGACCCTGGCGTCAATAACCCCTTCCTCTTGCTAAATCCCTGTAGGAAGAACAGCAAGAGCAGAAAACTTATACTCACTGCATGTGTGTAACAGTTAGCAGCATGTTCATAGCAAGTTGGTTTGTAGCGGCCATTGGCTGGGGCCCGGTGGTTCATGAAACTGCAGAAACAAAAAGCCATCATGTGAGAAAAGCTTAAAGACTGTGAAGAACAATACAGAAGCCTGCAATGGTTGTTTGTTCTTTGCTCTTTTTTTTTTTGAGACAAGGTCTCACTGTGTAGTTCGGACTGCCCTCACTATGTAGCCCAGGCTGGTCTCAAACTCACAATGATCCTCCTGGCTCAGCCTCCTGAGTGCTGGGATTACAAGCATGCGCCACAACACCTGGCTGTTCTTTTCTAAATACAGGGGGTCACTCCTGAAAATATCTCCTTACCAGAAGAAAACTAAAGCCATTTAAAAGTTATAGACTGGGTCAGCAGCAATAGTTCTAAAGCAAAGATGTCGTGCTTTATTAGATAAAGTATTCTTTCCATTTACTCAAAAGATAACCTTATACCACTCAAAAGCAAACAGCAACTATATCCAATTATTTCACTGGTACCCCTGCAATCGTAAAAAGAAACAAACAATAATAACAACAACAAAAAAGCCATTATCAGAACTGAAATCTTTTTTATGTGTGTGCAGTGCTGTAAACTAAATCCATCGCCTTGACACTCCACTGAGTTATATCCCAGCCCTTAAATCTTAACATTAAAATAAAGGGGGGGATTTCTGAATGTTAGCTACTGTCATTAAATGAAAAAGGTATACAGTGCACTTGAAAGGTTGCCCTTTTCTCTCTCCGAATGCATAAAGCTTTACATATGCAGATATTAAAAACCAATGTCCATAATTAAGACTCCTGTCCAACTAGTTTCCCTGTATTGTATTACCTGTTCCAGCACCACACAGCTACAATGACACATGGCTACCTCGAGGACACCTAAGCAAGGAGGTATATTTTCACTTTCATTCTTCCTGAATTAAAAGTTTGCTTCAAAAAATCAAACATGTGACAAGAAGCTGACACACTGTCTGCAAGTTTCATACATACACACAAATGAATGTCTGCGTCTAAATACCAACACCTGTCACATACACAGACCCATGCCCACATCCCATACTTTCCCTTGGGCTAACTTTATCCCAGACAGCAACAGAAGGGAAACCTGAATGCCACAGGACCAAAAGAGATGGTAGCAGTCTTGTTTCAGGAGAGAATGCCTCCCGCCTCGACAGACACCCACACTCACACCCACACCAGGTTTCCTGTGGGATTCTGGATTAGTCTGACTGCTTTCAGGAGGTGGAGAAAAGCCGCTGTCTGAATAAAAGAGCAAAGAAGCAGATACAGAGAAACAAACAGGTAAAAGAACCTTGACAGGACTCAGGTCTCCCAGGGCCAATCTGTCAGCAGGCTTCACACAATAAAGTATCCTTTTGCTCCAACTAATTTGGAGGAGGGTACTCTACACCACTGATGATTTCTCGATGAGTCACACATTATCCACTAATATGATAGGCAATAATACCAGGCTGACAAAATGGCAGAGCTGTGTTGCCAAAAGTTGGCTAAAACCCACACAACCAAGCAATTCTGAACAGATCCAGGTTTAAGGAGCGTAAGGCTAGCCAACACTACCTCCCTGATTAAGAAAGGGCTGTTATTCTTCGATCAAATAAATAAAAGCAAATGGAGTGCCTGTTAACCCCATAACATGGTTCAGGTGGAACATCATGGGATACATTTGGGACAGTGAAGATATTCAAAGTAAAATAAGAAAAAAAAAAAAAGCTATTTACTGAGTATAATCCAACAGATGACTTGAAACTGTCTAGAGAAATATACAGCTAGCAGCTTCCAAATTTATCCAAGTTATTTTTGTACATAAATAATTTCAAGCATCATCCTTTCTCCCTTGATAATCTTCTAAAGAATTTCACTAATTTCCTAAGGGACAAGAGTGTTGCTATACAGCCCTTATTAGTAAAAAGAAACAATCACCCTCTAGGGAAGAATGCCTTGAAGTGTCCCAAGCACTGAAGGATCTACCACATCAATACCTCGAGACATAACAACAAAAGCTATGGACAGCATAGCTTAATGGGGATGTCGAAAAGCAAAGGGTGAGTCTCCAGGATGGCGGAGGCTGGATTAAACTCAAAGTGCTCTGCGAAGGATGCAGTTAAGTGGGACTTCTCTACCCACTACCAAGCTGCAGACGAAAATAGCAATTCATATCTCTGGCAGCCCAATCTAAAAATAGCCAGGCCATTACACAGCAACAGGGACAGACTTTCACATTTTCTCCCACAAGCAAAGAAGCTAGGTGGTTAGGTTTCTGGCAGCTTAGTCACTGCTCACCTGAACTTCTTCAGGTTAAAACAGAGTAAGAAGTTGTCCAAAAAAAAAAAAACATTCCATTCTCGTGATTCAAGGGAGTCTCTCCTGATGGATGGTGAAGACCTGGGCCATAAAGAAAGGTGATAGCAACTACCCTGCAACATTTTAATGTCTGGAGCTCAGTGGGATAGACAGTATAATTGTTCTGCTGGGAAATCATAACGCGATTTTTCCATTTCTCTCTGATCTGCTAGCATGCAATCAAGCCTCCTCCACAGCCTTCTGAAGAAATCACTTCTAAGATCTAAATGGAAAAGCATGTAAAATGCAAATAAACTCCCACACAGGAGCCTAAAGTCCTCCTGCCCTGCAAAAAAAGAGAAAAGTTCATGTGCTGTTTATGGACATCATCTCCTCTTCAGGTGGAGTAACCTAGTGACTACCCAGTGCTCTGAACAGGGGAACCAGCCTGCTGCAGAGGACTTAAAGGAAGGTGATTTAGTCCTGGGAACAGAAGCCATGCTTAATGACGTCATTAGTTAGACAGGGTTTGTTCATTCATCACCTTACTTCCCACATTCTCTGTGTCCCCCTTGCCCAGGGTCCAGCAGTTGATGAGCCTTAGAAACCCACCAGCAGGGTGGGACCTGAAGTTTACACTCAGACCAAATCCTACCCTGTCCTTGATTGCTCTGTGCTCCTCCTTCCCTAAGCACAAGTATTCTCAACCCTAGGTTCCAAATTGGTCCACTGCTCTGTAACTCCACAGTTCCTACTTTAAATCAAGACACCAACATCTCAGTTCCGTGAAGATACAACCTCTTAACTGGCTTTGCTGCTTTGTCCCCATGCAGACGCTCTTCTTTATGCAGCAGCAAGAGACTACTACCAGGCATGGTAGGTAGCACTTGCCTGTAAAGCCACTAATCAGAGGGAGAAGCAAGGAGATGCTAAGTCCAAGACCGGCCTGGGAAAAACAGACCTGTCTCAAAAGTTAAAATAAAATAAAAATGGGCTGGCGGTGTAGCTCAGTAGTAGAGTACTTGCCTGGTATGCACCAATGGTCAGTATCAAAACAACCCCGGCCACACACACCAACTCACACAGCCTTAACCCGAAGTGCTTCAGGAATCACTGTGCCCCATCCCTGGCCCACATGCCCTTAGTGGCCTGGCTCTCACTATTCCTTGGGATGCCACCTTTCTCTCACCTATCCTCTAGCTATGCCACTTCCTTTCTGCTCAGACTACAAGTCAAGGTCTTAGCTATCTCAAGGCACGGGGTGTTTATTTCTGCCTAGTGCCCTCTTCCCCAGCATGCTCAGCTCTCCTCTTATCCATTCTTCAAGCTTAGATCAAAAGTCACCTTCTCAGAGAGGTTTCTCAGGCCCTCCTAGCTAAATTATTACTTCATCCCTCCTCATCCAACCAGAATCCTTATCATAATGATTTGGTTTTTTTTTAAGCTTGTTTTTGTATTTCATCTTCCCCACTGCAATATGAAGTCTGTGAAGGCTGTTTTGGCCACCATTTCATTTCCAATACCAAGCACAACGCCCAGCTTATTGGTGAAGCTTAGTAAACAACTGATGAGTGACAGAATGAATGGACATTCCAGTGACTGCTGAACTATTTTAACAGAGAGATATCCCAGTCAATTTAGTTTTACTAGGATTTAGCAGGTCTTAGAGCCCAAGAACTCTGAACTCCATGATAAGAAAATTCAAAGGCCAAGTCAATAGCTTATTCCAAGGGCCCCTGGGATACTTGATGTTGCAACTTAAGCTACCTTATACACGGGTCCTTACTATTAGTGACCTTGTGGGACTAAGCAAGATAATACTTCAGGAAGTATCCAGTGTCCACTGTGGCACACCTGACTTAATTACTATATGAAGGAAAAGGCGTATGTTGGAAGACTCCCACTATGCCTAGATGTTCTAAGGACGCACAAAAAAAGACAATACACAGCTCTGGAAGACTTCCCAATGTTTTAAACTAGATCCTTTCACATATGTTCAAATTTAAAGCAAACCATTGGTCACATGTCTGGAGCTGAGGGACAGCATCCTTTCCCTTGAACACAGAGGTGCGGTGTGGGCAGGAAGAAAGAAAGGGTGAAGTAGTAGCCAGGGTGGGAAAGGGAGACGTGAAACTGAACTCTTGAGTCTTCCCCATCCTAGCTGTGTGACTAGGGGCCTGTTATTCTTCAAGCTTGTTCTTATATTGAATGGGTATAAAATTTATAGCTTTTAGAATTACAGTTAAGGATGAGATGAGTAATACACAGGTACCCATCCAGTGCCCTGGCACAAACAGGCTCTCAATGAATGCTGCTGTTATTATCATCAGGCAGAAATGCTGTGAAGGGGAAACAATGACTGTTTCTGCGTGTATGTGTTTAGGTGTCCTGGGAGGCTCAACTGTGAAAAGGACAAAGAAAGAAAGAAAGAAAATATGCTGGGTCACAGTGCAACTTTTCACACCCAGGCTTCTTGAGAAGCCAGGACTGCACAAAGCCGACCACTTAGGATAGCAGGTTGTCTTACAGCTTTCCTCCATAATGGCAGAACTCTGGATGCTGATCCAAAGCCACAATAACCACTGAATTTCCATTATGAACGCCCCAGCAAGGTGTTTTTGTAATTTGGACATAGCTACAAAGCATGGCCTAATAAAATGTTTTTAGCAATCCAATGCTCCTCAATCGAGTTCTGAGATACGCATCAGGGGAAAGAACACATTGGCTCCAAGGCAGTGTCTCTTTCAATAGTTTCTGTGTGACTTGCCTACCTGTAACTACGGTGAATGCTTAGAAAAGTGTCTAATGAACATAGCCTGACAAGGTGTAGAACAGTATTTTCAACACTTTAATATGTGAACCACAAAAATCGGACTTTCTTGTCATATTACATTTTTTTTTAAAACGGGATAACACGAATGCAGTTCCCTACCACAAATTATGCAATCGAGTTCCCCACATTTGGGGAAATCGCAGGGGTCAGCACATCCGGAGTGCAATGGATAAGCCTCGCCCTGGGAAAACCACCTTTGTGATCATGGTATCTCCCCTGCCAGGTAAGTATCATATTACTTTTCATTTGCAGGCTTTATCTCCAAGTTCAAAGTGATGCTTAGAAATAGCTTTCCAATCTAACCTATAATGGAGAAACAAGAAATTATGGGATCACACAAATCTTCAAACAAAAATCAGGGTAGATCTATATGTCACCAATAAAAACTGATAAATATCCACGGGATGCAATAATGTACAGCCAGAGAAAATTAGTCTCTGCTACACCCAAAGAAAATGCCTGTTAAGAGTCCCAAATCGTATTACAATGCGGCCAATGAGGACTAGAAAGATTACTGTCCAGCAAAAAGAAGAGTGCAATCAGCTGGGATAATTTTTTCCCTTTGTTTTAGTACTGTTTTAACATCTGTGCAAAAACAAAACAGGCTTTTCCTTTTCATGCAAGGATGCAAAGGGGTAGAAGAGAAATGCAAACTCTTAATCAAATAGGGAAGGGGTAATTTCACCGAAGATAGCCACTGTTCTCTGAAAACAGGAAGAGCACATTAGTGCAGACGAGTAAAACCAAATCAAACAAACCGCAAGCACAAAGCCTCACTGACCCCGCCCGACCCAATCTTCCACTCTGCCCTTAAGCCCCTCCAGTCTCACTCCTGACATCAGGTTCTAAACCCCGGGACGCCATGGTTCCCTTAAAAGTACCGGTCTGAAGTTCCTCCCTGAGGAGCAGTGCCAGGCATTCAACACCCCAAAGATGAGCAATATTCAGACGTCAGTTCAAGCCTGCAGACTGATCCCCCCACTGATGGCCCCGACAACCGGGGCTCTTTCCACCTTTCTGTTGGCTCCTCCACCTTTCCAGACTGGAGGCGCAATGAGATACACATAGTGAGTGCGTGGGCAGTGAAGGAAGAGGAGTGGAAAGAAAAATATGCATTTTGAAATAAAAGGCAGTGTCTAAAAACTCAACAGTGACCTCCTTGGAAGATTTCGTGCGTTTCTTCCAAATTCCTCGCCACCGCACGTGAAGCCCGCTGGTGGTGAAGGTCTGGAAGGGAGACGTCCACCGATTCAGACAAAGGGATGGAGAGTTCCCACAAAGAGAGGAGAGGTGAACTTTCACCCACTTAGGCGCTACAGAAAAGCGCAGAGCTTCCTCTGGGAAGCCCAGCCAGCAGCCTCCATCCACCGCTGGTGGGCAGCGAGACCAGGAGAGGGTGGAGGCTCTGGCGGCCCCCAATCTTGTTTGTTCCCACCAGCTCTTCTTCGACCTGCCTGCCTTCCGGTGGCGCCTCCGCCGCTTGGTTTCCTAACCCAGGCGCCCCAAGGGCAGGTCTCTCCCACCCGAATGCTAACTTGCTCCTTGGCAGAGCCCAAAATAGCACCACTCCGAGAGGCTAAACCTAAGACCAGCAAGGAGGCCCCTCCACCTCAGGCAAGGCTGGGCCAGGAGGTGCTTGCCTCAGTTTCCCTGTGGTGGCTAGGGCCGTTCACAGAAAAAGCACCTAAAAGACCCTGGCCATCTTGTCCCCGCTTTGCGACAGATCTCCTAGCAGGGCGCAGCAGCGACCCCCGGAAGACCCCTCCAACCATGGGGTGAAAGGATGGAGGCCAGGGCTTAGTTCCGAGGACTCGGGGGCGGCGCTAAGCTGGAGCTCGGGTCTTCAGATCTAGCACGAGGCCAGCCTGGATCCGGGTCGGGGTCGAGGGCCATGGCCGGCGAGGGGAAGCCGGAGGAGAAGCGGGCGCGGGGTCCGGGTGCACAGGTCGCAAGAGGCCACCCGGG